AGAGAGAGAGCAGGTAAGTCTACAACCTTGGCTGGCCTCATGGTACTTTCATTGATAGCATGACCAAAATCGAATGAATCTACCTCTAGAACCTGGAAATATACATGGCCACACTCGTTTTTCTGTCGCGCGCACGCGCGTGTGTGGGGGGGGTGGTGGGGGGAGGACCCCTACCCCACCAATCAATCAATCAATCAATTTTTTTTTATTTTATTTTTTTTAAATTCATTTTCACCCCCAGCCCACCCCCTCCCGAAATTCCTTTTTTTTTTTTTTTTTTTTTTCTGGGGGGGGGGGGGGGGGGGTTGTGCAACCCCAATAAAAAACGGTTTAATCGCCAACCCCGCCACCTGCCCCATTGGCCAACGGCCTCCACGTGACCTTGAAAATCTGCGGTCACACGGCCATGGCCACAGGGTCGTGGCCCCGCCTCCTTGGGGGATTCGTAGCTCGTGGGTAGAACTGCGGTTCACAACACCTGCGGCCACATATGTATAAGACTGTCTCCACGCCATGGCAACATCCCGAGTGACAATCCTCCCCTTAGCCCTGTTAGGGCACATTTTTTGTCAAAAGTGGTGGAATCTCTGACCCCTTTGAGCCCCGAACACGACAATCATGGTAGGCTTGCCGTCCATTTCTTCGGCGAAGGCGGGGTCAGGTTAAAGACCAAAAGCCCCCAAACGATGATTGCCCCCCGGAGACTATTCGAGAACCGTGTCGTCATGTTCCCACCAGAGAGTTTGGGAGGACGAATGAGGTTCTTCTGTTCGATGATGGAGGCAAGATTGTTCGGGTTGTCAGTTTCAGGCGTTGCTTGTTTGTCTAAAATTTTTCCATTTTTTCGTCAACTGAAGCCAGGTGGTCCTGGCATTTCAAAAAAGACGGACAAGGGGGAGCTAGAACTGCTATTAACAGGGGAAGGGTTGTTTGTTAAGCTAAGTAGGTTAGAAGAACGATGCTGGGACGACACAGGCCGGTGCTGAAGTTTATGCTATGTGACCGAGGGGGGGGTTGAGGCCTGTGGAGTTATGCCGAGGGTGGAAGGCATAACCGGATTGTCCGACGTAGCCGGCGCTGGGGTATTAACCCTGTAACCTGGTGTCAGGGGCTTGCCGTTACGGGAAATATCGAGGGAGGAAGGCACTTCCTGTCCGTCAGAACTAGGTTGGTCAGTATTGGGGAAGGTTGTGGTGCCCTGTTACCCTAGCAGAAGGGGGTATGAGATCAAGTGAGTTCTGGTACGAGGACTGAAAGCCTGGACCGACATTCCATCTGTTGAGGGGGGCAGTTTTAGATAATAGGTGGTTTTAGTTTTGACCCTCTGCTCCCATGTTTTTTCAAGCTTCTTCAGACGTTTTCTGAATTTTAGCCTATTTCATGAGATCTTTTTGTGATAGGCTAGAAATTGCTCATGATCTTATTCTTAGCCGAAGCCGGGTAATGGCCCCGGTATCTTAAGTTTTTTTCGGTAAAAAAAGAGGTGAGTGGGAGAAGTAGATGGTGGGATATCAAGCGTCCTACTAGTAAGTGGGCTAGCTCGTAGGATGGAAATAGGGTACAGCAACAGCGGAGATGGTGGCTCTGCTGCAATAAGTCTTGCTGGAGTAAGGTAAAGAGGATTGATGGGGGGGATTCTGAGTCTTTCTGAATTTTGCCTATGTCCTTGTTCTTTAGTCATACTTGAAAAAAAAAAATCTAAAACAAAAAGGGATAGCCAAGTGGACCGTCTTGTGGAGTTTTGGGGGACCTGTTGAAGTAAGGGGCAAGGGGCATGAAATGATTCTTCGCAAGGATGGAGAGGGGGATGGAATAGGGCTGCTCAATGGGTACCGGGTAGGGGGAGTCTCTTATCAGATGCGATTGGCGTCGGGTAGTTTAGTCTGTCTGATGGGTACCGGCTGATGAGGGCGAACCCTGGCGCCATTGGTGTTGGGTAGTGTTGATTCACCTCCTTGAGGACGGAGACTGGAATTCTTGTGGGGGCAAGGAATTTCAGGGTGATGATGGTGCCCGGCCCCTGCTGAGATGAGGTACTCTGGAGTTCTTTACGAGGACGGAGTTGGGGAGGACAAATGCGATTTGGATGGAGGAAGTTGGTGGTGGATGCGATTGGCGCCGAGTATCTCGGCAGGTACCGACCACTGGCTGCTAACTCCACCTGGATCAGCCTGAGGTTCTTCCCTTCGATGATAAAGGCAAATTGTTCTGCTTGTCTTGTCTGCTTGTCTGTTTCAGGGTTACATGTTTTTCTAAGTGGACTTATCCTCCTTCTGGGGGAATATTGCTGAAGTAATTTTTCGATAGTATCCATTTCATTACCATCAAAGGACGTTCCCTGTTCAGTTAATCCCCTGGTTTTCAGGGTAATTAATGTTGGCAGGGGGAGGTCCTCTGTTGCATACTGCAACGTGCAGACCAGAACAAGAACCGACCTTTCAATACAAAGTACAAGATAACACAGCGGAAGACTTAGATACTAGTGATCCGAACAATCAATGTCGTAATGCAGCCCTGAACACACATCATCATCATCGTTGCATGGTGTGAATGGGTCTGGCGCTTCACACAGGAAGACAGCGCCAGCCCATACCATACACAGACGAAGAGGAAGGGGATAGACGAAGAGGAGGGGGAAGATGGGATCGTCGTCAACACCAAGTCTTCGACACAAGCCCAAATAGTCCCTCGTCGAAATTTCTGAATCCCAAATGTCAAGTCTGGATCCAATGTCGTCAAGTCTCAAGTCACAACTTTGTCTCTCTCTGTCGTAGTCTGAGAAGTCAGGTGGCGAGAGGGTGAGAAGAGAAGGTGGATTTAGAAGAGGAAGAAGAAGAACTCTCTCTCTCTCTGTGTCCAGTACTCACCTCTGAAGTTGGCGCCTTGATGCAGGTACCACGAAGATGGAGTTGGAGCGATGGCGCCACAGGTAAGTAACATTGGCCTCCGCCAGTCTCTCTCCCACTCTACGATCTACCACCTACCAGCGCCGAGCGCTGAAGACTACAGCTACAGCTATGGCGCCCAACGCCGAAGACTACAGCTAGCGCTACTACTACTTAGCGCTGGAGACTACTGCAGCGCTCCTCCTAAGTGTTGCGGCCCAATCCTGAAGACTACCTCGTGCCTACTGAACTACCTACCCGTGAAGTGCATGGGAACTTCCTTTGTACTACGGGTGTGCCTCCTGAGCCTGCCGAAGGGAGGCAGGGGCTGCAGCTGCAGCTCCTGCTCAAACTCGTGAGGAACAGGCTATTTCTGGCCTGTTCCGCATCCCTGTTTACGTGCCTGAGTCTTAGGGGCAGGTCGAAACAACGAGGGCCTGAAAATGGCCCTTTGTTTCAGGCTGAAAACTCTGGGTCTGAAAAGACCCAGAAATAGGCTGAAACGGGGTAGGGCCTGCAGGCCCTCCTTTTTCAGCTTTCAGGCTGAAACGAACGGGGCCTGTAAGCCCTAAGTTTTAGGCTTTTAGGCCGGGACAGGCCCTGCAGGGCCCGTGTGCCTACGCGGTATGCCACACCCCCCCCTCCTTGAAGAACCGAGCTTACCTACGAGGGCGAAGCTGTCTGTCTGAGGGAGGGACCACAATCTGGGTGGGAGGGGCTGGTCGTGAAGATTCCTGCGCCAACCTCCGCTTTTCATAATGCGCGTAGATCAGCGGTGCGGATGCTTTCAAATCTGCGCCTGAAATCCACCGAGTGTCGTCGCGATCGCATGCTTCGAATGTGACTTTGTACTGCCGCGGCTTGCTGCCGTACTTGCGATCAGAGATGACGCAGTCAACTTCCTGATGGCCATCCATAGAAGGAGGGTCCTGCGATCGTCTGTCCGGAAAGTCGTCGCTCTTGGCTGGCGTGTATGTTGCCAGCTTCGAGGCGTGGAAGACCGGATGGACCGTCAGATGCTCTGGAATGTTGATCATAAATGAAGGGCCATCGGGCTCATCGCCCGCGGCTGCTGTCACAGACCAAGGTCCAAACCACTTAGGAAGCAGTTTGCGTGAAACTCCCTGTTCCAGTGCAAATTCTTCCACGGAGACCCAAACCAGATCACCGGCGAGGATGGGACATGGTACGCGACGCCTGTTGGCTTGCTGCTGCATGCGAACCCGAGCCTTTTGCATATTTGTGCGGGCTTGAGTCAGCAATTCCCTGTACTTCCGGACGAAAGCGGGAGAGCAGGCAGCGTCAATGTCGGCTGGTCGAGGGAGGAAAAGGTCTGCGAAGATCCGGCCTTTCCGTCCACCGTGGTGCAACTCGAATGGAGTCACGCCGATCGCCGGATGCACCGAAGTGTTGTAGGCGAACTCGATGTCGGGGAGGCGGTCAACCCAATCTTTTTGGTTTGGACGCATGAGCGTACGAAGCATCATTTGAGCGGTTTGATGTGCCCGCTCCGTCTGCCCGTCTGTCTGAGGATGTCGAGCCGAACTTAGTTTCATTGTTGTGCCGAACTCCTGCATGAGAGCAGTCCAAAACGCCGACATGAAACGAGTGTCGCGGTCGCTGACAATGTCTTCTGGTACAACGTGGCCACAGATCCAGCCAGTGTGCAGGAGGCGGCCCAGCTCGGGAGCCGTGGAGTAGTACTTGCAAGGGAGAAAACGCGCGTACTTACTCAATCGGTCCACAACCGTGAGGATGCCGTCGTGCCCGAGCCGGTCGCGAGGAAACGGACCGGTGACGTCCATGGCAATGGAGGGACCGGGTTCCCGTGGGATAGGCATCGGGTGTAACTCGCCGTAGGGATTGCGGCTGCGGGGCTTGCTGCGTCGACAAACTTCGCAAGAGTCGCAATACCGAGTGACATCGGTAGTGAGGTCGGGCCATCGGAATCGCTGTCGAAGCCGTGCAATAGTGCGGTTGACTCCGAAATGGCCGGCGAGTCATGACTCACGGTACTCGCCGAGGAGGCGAGTCCGAAGACGACGGTCGCGTGGGACACATAGTAAGTCCTTGCCTCTCGAGTGCAGGAGCAAGTACCCGTCGGCAATGCGGTAACGGCTGGCCGGCGGGTGATCCGAAGATAGCTGTGCATAGAGCGTGCCGAAGTTCGGAGCAGACTGATATGCCCGGATGAAGTGTAGCTGAAGCTCCTCGTCGAATGCGAAGGCATGATGTGACATAGCGCAAAGATCAGGTCTTCGCGAGAGTGCATCTGCTGCGCGATTGGAGAGGTCGGGGACATGTTTCGGTGTGAAGTCAAATTGGTTGATGAAGTACATCCATCATCCGATCGTGCTGCTCACCGTGTCCTGCGTCTTGTAGTAGGTCAATGGATTGTTGTCGGTGACCCATGTGAACCTACGACGCCCAAGGAGGAAGTGCCGCCAGCGCTTGAGAGCCATCACGGATGCGAGCAACTCCTTCTTCCTTGCATCATCAAGCGAGTTGATGGGAGACACTTTGTGGCTGAAATACTCCACAGGGTGCCAGTCGTCGCCGTCGTTTTGTTCCAAGACTGCCCTAATGCCATAGCTGGAAGCGTCCGTAGTCACTCGCGTCGGCAGGGTGGGGTCATAGATGCTAAGGACGGGTGCCATGAGCATAGCCGTCTTAAGTGCTTGGAATGACCGGCRTGCGTCGTCATCGAATACGAATGGCACATTTGGCGACTGTAGCCTCGTCATAGGTGCAGCAATCCTGGAGTATCCGATGATGAATCGCTGATAGTAGCCCGCCAACCCCATGAATGAACGAACGTCCGTGGTGTTGGTTGGCTCGGGCCATACTCGTAGGGCCTCGATCTTGTCCGCAAGCGGACGGATGCCTTGCGGCGTCACATAGTGTCCCAAGTACTCCAGCTCCTGCTGTGCGAACTCGCACTTGTCGCGGTTTGCTTTGTACTTGGCCTGTCGTAGCCGCTCCAAAACGGTGCSCAGGTGTTCCACATGCTCGTCCAGACTCCAGCTGTAAACCAGAATGTCGTCGAGGTAGATAAGTACGAAACGATCCAGCACGTGTCGGAACTCCGTCGTCATAGCCGCTTGGAAAGTGGTTGGGGCATTCGTAAGGCCAAATGGCATGACCAGCCATTCGAAATGCCCATACCGTGTCTTGAACGCGGTCTTGTAGCGATCCTCCTTGCAAATCTCGAGTTGGTGGTACCCTGACTTGAGATCCAGCTTAAAGAAGAACTGGGCGCCGCGCAATCGCTCGAGAAGGTCGTCGATGCGTGGGAGAGGGCCGATGTTCCTGATCGTCTGCGCGTTGAGCTTGCGATAATCGATGCACAACCGCAGGTCCTTGTTCTTCTTCCGGACGAAGAGAACAGGAGCACCGTATGGCGATGAGCTAGGCCGAATCCAGCCTT